GGGGGGGCGGCTAATTCTTTGCAAAGCCATTCTAAAGACATGAGGCATTCCTGTTGGATTATTGGATTAATATTGGGTTGACATCTATTTGTTTGCTCAGTTCTGTTATGAATGTTACCTTTTGTCTACTGGGGATTCTTGGTAGTTGCCCTACAGGGATTACCAACCTAGATACCATTTTCTCAAGTAATTAGAAATCTTGTTAAAATTGATTCAGTGGAATTGTTCTCTTCTTTGTAGGAACAAAACCAAACCAAAACAAAAATAAAACAACACATCATTCCCTGCCTGGATTACAAGTAAATAGTGGTTTGAGGACAAAAATCTCAGCGTGTAATCCTAGGGTTTCTGTTTTGTTTTGACTGTTGCCTAGCTGTACAAACCTTGATCATGTCATATCACTTCTTACCTCAGTTTCCTCATCTTCAAAGTAGAGATAGAGCCTACTTTACAAAGCAATGGTAAGAAGTGTGTGCATGTGCCTGCTTCATAATTGGTATGCAATGTGTTACTTCCTCCTTCTTTTTGGCATCATTAATATCTGAATTCCAGTCCTTGAATACACTTGTTACAAGTTGTGAGAACAAATTACTCTCTCTGAAAGTCATTTGCCTTTAACATATGGTCATCAATACCTTCTTTATACAGTTGTGGTTGGAATTCAGTTCCTAGTATAGTCTAGGAAGTTTTTATTGAATCCGAATTTGAATGTTAAACTGCTAAAAAGTTATATAAATATGTGAGTTTTTCTGGATGGATCTTGGATACCAAATCCACACTATATATTTTTAGGAATATATAGTAGGAGATATATAAACAAGGAAAAGTAACTCTCTCTCTTTTTTAATGGAGGACTCTATAATAGATTTCTTAATTTTACTTAATGTAATTTATTGGGAAAGTAGGGAAATTATGGATCAAGGAATTTATTTTACTTGAAATAGCTACCTCTAGAAGGAATATGCATAGGGCACCAAGGAAGTCAGACTCTTGAAATATACTTCTTTGCTTTTATTATTTTTGTTTTAGGTGGCTTTTATTTTTTAATGACACACTTTAGCATACATTAATGGTTTTCTGGGCAGATCTTGAAAAATTCATTAGTACTGAAAATTTTCTAGTTAGGTAATTTACCAGGGAAAGAACTAATACATCAGCATTAAAGTTTAGTTTGGTAAATTAAGGTCAAGATTCATGAATGAATCATGTTAAATGAGTTATGAATTAAATTGATATTATTGTTGAATTTAACTATGTATTAAATCAATATAATTTCTTTTAATAATCACAGAATTGAAATTGAGGTATGCGATATATTGTATTGAAGGTTTGCAGAGTGATGAATTAGGGAGTTTGTAATTTTAAGGATGTTATAGTTTCATGAATTTCAGTTAGATTTGTTTGAATGTGAATCACTTTCATAAATAATCAGCAAATATCATTGCCTTCATATTTTGTAGAAGTTGAGTCAGCTTTTGTATCTATTCAGATGAATGTAAATTTTAACTTACTTTCTTATGTATTTCCCAAAGTTCAGGGGATAAATGGGCATGCAGAGTTTTAATCACTTTTAAGAATTCATTTTCTTTGACATGCTACAACTCTTTATTAGATGTTTGTTAACCACCCTGAAAATGTTGAGCAAAGTAGAGGAGAGTCTTTGCATGCATAGTTTTTACCTGCAAAGAAAAAAAATAACGTTAAGTACAGAAAAGCTTCTGCTGAGAAAATATTGATAAATTTATATGTGAATGTTAAGGACATATGGATGTGTGGATTCTAACCATATATCCAT